GCGACGGTACGAAAAGGGCGGTGCGCGCGGCAGCGGCGGCAGCTCGGCGGCGGCGGCATTGGAGAGCGCAACGCGGAGCCGGGTGCAGCCCTGGCTTTCCCCTCACAGCGCTCCCGCGCCCCCTTTCGCATCCGCAACCAGAAGCCCAGTGCGGCGCCCGGACCCGGACCCGCGCCCGCGCCTCTCCCGGGACCGCGACCCCGGCCGCCCCGCGATGACCGCGACCGCAGCCCTCCAGCGCGTCCTGCTGCTCCTGCTGGCCTTCGGCCACCATGCCCATGGTGAGTGCCCCCGGTGGCTCGGCTCGCGCCCCCTCTGGGGAAGCCTGCGACGCCCCCCGGCCGCCCAGTGCCCTGCACGCCCCGTCCCATGCGCCCGAATTCCCGCCCGTCCCGCCTAACCCTAAGCCCCCGCGCGGTACCTGCCTCGCCCTCTCCGCTCCCCTTGCACGCCAAGCCCGGCCCTGGGGGTCCCGGGGGGGACGGGGGAGGTGTGGGACCCCAGCCCCTTCCCGCCTCACAAAAGTGGTGCTCGGAGGGGTGTCGGTGCGCTGAGACAAGAGGTAGGAGAAACGAGGTGATGCTGGGAGACCTGTGAAAAGGCTCTGGGGTGCAACTTTGGGGGTCTTTGTGCGTGCATCGGGGTACAGGTCTGTGGGGGCAGCGGGGGTGACTTTGCCATCACAGCCCCAAATTCGCAACCAGGAGCCCAGCCTGGGCCCTGCTGCGTGGTTTCTCTAGGTGAGGGGCTGCGACACTTCTGCCTGCAGCGGCCATCTGCCTCTGACAGCGAGAGTGGCCCCTCCCGCAGTGCCCCCGCCCCACTGCACCCGTGGGCATGGGGGAGGGGGCTGTCTGGAGAGCTGGTGTGCGGGTTGACGTAAATGCACACAGTAGGCGCCTATGAAGACGTCAGACTCTTTAAATAGGGTCAGGATTGATTGCAGTCAAGCTCTGCAAGCTGTGGCGCAGTTTTTTTTTTTCGATGACGAGTGTGGGGCAGGGGAAACTGGGGGGGACCCTGACTTGGGTTCCTGGCTTCACTGGGATGAACCTTCACAAATATCCAGATGCCTTACCTGTGCGCTGCCAGGTGACCCTGTCTGGCTTTCCCTGGAGATGAATTCCTCAAAATCTGCTCCCCCTTCAGCCCACTTAGCAAAACTGAAGGTCTGCCCGAATGCCCAGGGGTCAAAACCTGTCCACCCACCTCCCCCTTCCCCAGTTTTAGAGCTGGAGGTCTCACACTTTGTTTGGAGGGAAATGAGATGTCTGACCTGCTGGTGAGAATAAAGCAGCGTTTGGTGGTCACTCCTTAAGCAGGAACAGGGTAGAGAGCTTTTCCTGGGTGGGTTGATGGGAAGTACCTACTGGGTGCCAGGCGGGTAGGACCACAGAGGGTGTGTGCTCCCTTGCGGTGGCCTTTGGGGCCTGGTGAGATGAATGGTGTGACCTTTCTTGTGCCTCAGGAGCTGAATGCTTCCCGCCCTGCAACCGCCACTATGGATTCTGCACCGAGGACAATGTTTGCAGGTAATGGAGTGCTCCCCCCGAGGCATCTTGTGGGGGGCTAGGGCAGAATCCTGGGGAGTCATGGTGTCAGGCAGAAAAAAGGGGGTAAGGGGCTTGGCCACTGAGCTGCAAAAAAAACAGCTTCGTCACCATCACCCCCGCAGGAAACTGGTGTGCGATGACGCAGAAACCTGGGGGGGGGGTGACGGCAGGGGGTGGGGCACAGCCACAGCTCCCGATGATGACACACCTCTGCGGGCCACTGCAGCAAAACGCAGCACGCAGCACGCTCTGGCCTCCCAGGGCCCCTCTGTCTGCTCCTCAGACGGCCCGTCTGCTGAAGCTTTTCCATTCAGGTGACTGGTGTTTGCTTCCTGGGGCCCACTGGCCTGGCACTGTGCAAAGACCCCTAAGGCCCTGGTACACAGAAAGCAGCCCCGCTCCCATGTCAGCCCTGCCCATCCTCAAATGTACTCTCCCCGCCCCCTGCAGGTGCCACCCTGGCTGGCAGGGACCCCAGTGTAACGAGTGCATGCCCTTTCCTGGCTGCGTTCACGGATTCTGCGACGAACCCTGGCAGTGCACTTGCAACGAAGGCTGGGACGGGCACTACTGCGACATAGGTGGGCGCTCCCCCTGCCCTCCCCCGCCCTCACCCCTGTCCTCCCCCTCCCACCTTATTCTGATGCACCCGGTGCTCTGTGTGGTAATGACCTGTGAACACACTTCCCCATGGATGGAGGCAGGAGCCTCCTCACAGGTAGGGGACATGATTTTGCTCCGTCTGCACCCTGCACCCAGAGGATGCCCTGGGGTGGGGTGTTGGGGGGCTGTCTGTGGAGTAAACAATCACAAAGTAAGCGCACACCACACAGAGCTGAGCGGGTGGGGACCGCAGGCCTGCCCCGGTCACTGAAGCTTGGGGAGTAGGAAGGACGGGGGTGTGTGACGCAGCAAGAAAACTCCAACAGGTCCGCCCTGGAGACTGTTATGAAGAGCTGCCCAAAGCAAGCAAACAACAGGGGAGGGGCGGGGACCGGCGCTGAGGGGTGGGCAGCAGGAGCTGAGGCCGGCCCCCGGGGTCAGGGCTGGGGGCTGGGACAGAGAACTAAGGTGGAGGGGGGCCTGGGCAAGGCTGAGAAGAGGTTAAAGGATGGATTGGTGTTATCTATTGATTTCATTAATTTATGCCACCTTTGTCCTCCATTACCCCGAGCCATGGAGAGTTGGCTGCGTTTTCAGGCCGCACATGTTCCTCTGAGCCCGTTCTCATTTGGCAAAACCTGCCTGGAGACCTGGGCAGACGGAAGTCCTCCAGAAAACTCCAGCAGCCTAGGCAGGGCCTCTGTCCCCTGGTGCCCAACGTTAGCAGAGGCTAATAGGGAAACTGAGGCTCAGAGAAGCCAAAGGGTTTGCTCAGGATTCATTCTCACCTGGGCTTTTTCTAATGCCCTCCCTTAAGGGAAACGGAAGAGCAGCTAGTTTTCAAAATCAAGCACCCGCCCCCCCACCCATGTCTTGGGTCTTTGAAGCTCCCCCCCACCCCCCCACTGCTATGGTGCAGTTTTATCAGCAGCTGACTCATGCGCAGGCCCGCAGCTCTGCTGCCCCTCCCACCGCGGCCTCGCAGGAGCTCTAACTTGGGGACCAGAGGATCCCAGAGAAATCACCATCTGGGGTCAGGCATTCAGCCTGGAGCCCACCCAGTTGGGTATCTTAGCCCGGGACTCCCCACGTTAGCCCGGGACTCCCCACGGGGTTTCCAGACCAAGGTCCCCTCCTCCCTGGGTTGACAGAGGCTCTCAGCTTAGGACGCTGGGTCCAGGGGAAGCGGCCCTCTCCCTTTCCCCCTTTCCCCCTGGTCTTTCAGGCTGTCACTGTCACGGTCAGTCAGTCGCAGGCAGCGCAGCTGCTGCCCCTGCCCCTGCCCCTGCGTAGGCCCGGCTCCCCTCCCCCACGGGCAGCCTGCTCCTTGGGCAAAGGTGGGCTCGGCCTCTGCTCTGGAGGCTTGACACTGAGGGGACAGGAGTAGGTAGGGTTGTCACTGCCCTTCAGCCTATATCTCAGGCTCCCAGGTGGCCGCAGAGCCCTGAGCAGAGGACGAGGAAGGAGCCGGCCGGCCGCGAGGCTCACGATCTCAGGCTTTGCTGGCGCCCTCCCTCCCTAATGATAAATCCTCTTTATGTTGCCTCGCTCCCAGCTGGGCTCCCAGGGACGCCTGGTGGGCTCGGGATAGGCCATCAGCATGGCGTCCAGGCCTTTCTCTATTGATGGCTTGCCATCTCCCCTCCGCCAGGGAGCGGTCTTTGTAACAGAGGGGGAATCTGTCCATGTGTGGACCCCTCCCCACCATCTGCCTTAACTAACTCGCTGTGTCTCTGGCTTTCTATTTGGTAGAAAATCAAAGCTAAAAAAAGGTCCCTCCTTTTATAAGTGGAGAAAGTGAGGCACGGAGTGGGGAGGGAGGGGTTGACCTCCGCAGCTGGCGGGAGGTGGGCACAGGACGGCCCCTCCCGGGCAGGCGGGGGTCTGGGGGCTGCACTGTCTGAGAGCCCCTGACCCGGGCCCCTTTGTTCGGCGCGTCCTGGGCTCGCTGAGCCGGGATAATGAAGTGTGCGTGACGGGAGGTGTCGAAAGGCGGTGGGAACGTACCCGTGTTCATGGAAACGCACGCTGACGGGAGAGGGCTCGATAGTTCTCATCTTGCTGCCTTCAAAAGAGCCAGCCTTTTAATCTTGGGCCCCCTTAGTTCAGAACCTGCGCGCAGAGACCACCTGGAGGAGGAGGCAGGGCTGGGCTAAATCACATCTCCATTTCCCCCCTGCCCCTGGGGATGGACCGGCACAAAGGGCCTCTGGTGTTTCTAACGGTTGGGCTGTACTAGTCCCCCAAGTGGCAGCTACCCCCCGAAAAAAACACACACACACAAAAACCACGAAGAGCTGGGTGTGCAAAGCTGCCTGGAGGAGGCAGGCACGGGGAGCTCAGCGCACTGTTAGGGGAGGGAAGGTGTCTGTCGTGAAGGTGATGATGCTGGACTGAGGGGTGACTTGGTTCCCCAGAAAAGGGGAGAGGTGATCTGGGTGGAGTGGCAGGGAGCAGCTGTGACTTTCTGTCCCCGTGACCGAACACAAGGACCCTCCTTCAGCTCCCTAAGCTGTTCAGGAATATTTTTTTTTGGGGGGGGTCCCTACACCTCTTCCTCAGGACCCCCACTCAGTGACCGTTGGCAGTGGCCACAGGCAGAGACATGGGGCAGCCTAGCTGGGGTCCCTCTCTCCACCAATTGGAGGTGTGTCTTCCTGCCTCTGTCCCCCCGCCCCTCCCTGGTCTGATGTTCTCTCCCCTCCCCCAGACATGCGGGCTTGCACCTCGAACCCCTGCGCTAACAACGGCACCTGCACCACCATGCAGAAGGGCCACTACCAGTGCACCTGTGCCCCTGGCTTCTCGGGAGAGAACTGCCAGAAGAAGGACGGGCCCTGCGAGGTCAACGGGTAAATATCCCTCCCGTTACCTGGGCTCTGATGAATGCGGCCTCTGATTCCCCTCCTGGCCCCTGAAGCCCCTTTCAGCCTCAGCCAGGGAGACCTGGCGCCTGACAAAAGACCAGCGAGTCTGCAGCCCCGTGGGGGGCCGCCCTCCATCAGAGGAAGTGTCATTTCCATAATTTCTTCAAATGATCCCGAAGGCGTTTTCATATTCCCCTGCCCTCCCCGGGTCCCGTGTGTGAATGACAGTAGATTGGGACGGAGCTGGGAGCTTGGAGCTGCATAATTTTCTACAGGCGACTGGGGGGGGGGGGGAGGAGATCAGTTCCGCAGGGCCCCAGGCTGTTTTTGTGAAACCCACACACCTACTTCAGGGGGTGGTTTTAGGGGCTGGGCAGCTCTGCAGGTGGGTTTGCTGGGGTGTCTCAGGAGGAGGCTGCCTGGCTGAGGGGGGAGGGGGCTGTGGGCCAGCACAGGGAGGGGCGGGGGCGGGATGGGGAGGACAAGCCATAAGGGCCAGGGGGTGGGGTCCAGCTCTCAGCTACCCTGAGTGGGGAGGGAGCCCTGGGATCCTGGGCAGTGGGCACCGAGGCAGAATGGCCGCTGGCCTGTCCTGTGCCTCCCTGAGCAGGGTTCCCCACAGCCCCCCTCTGGCCCTTATGTGCATAGCTGCACGGACGGGGGCTAAAAGGGAGGCTAGGAGAGATCTTGACAGCAGCGAGAATTCCACCTGGGGCCCCTAGCCCCTGGCCCAGGGGCTGCCCTGCCACACCAGCGCCTCCTGCCCTGGCATTGCAGGGTGGCGTGGAGGACGTGGACTGGCTGGTGCCACAAGCAGGCACCTGTGAGGCATGGAAAGATCAGTACTCCGAGGGCAGGGGTGACATCGCACGCCGTGCCGGCTTATCGGAGAGAAGGGAACATTCAGAGCCAGCCCTTTAAAATGTTTTGCTTTTCTCTCTAACAAAATCCAGGCCGGGGTCCTTGAAAATCCTTCAGAGCCCCGCCCCTAGGCCGCCCTCCTCCGAGGGGCGACGCGGCTTTCTCGCGCCCACCGCCCCTTTCTTTCCTGGAGTTGCGGCATTTACCAGATGACAAAGGGCCCGCTCGTTTAGAAGCACTTACGTTAAATGCTCCGTGCGCTCCGCTTGGAGCAAACAGCTCGGTCTGCAAGCTGCACTTGGGTGAATGAGCCACTAAACCAGCGGCAGGGACGCAAAGACAGACCGCGTATTTCTTTCACTCGGAGAGTCCCCAAGGGTTTCTGCACAATGAGCTGCAGGCTCGCTCCGCTGAAAATAGAAGTAAAAATAATAATGGGGTGGTGATGGGGGGCGGGGGAGACCGTCAGGGGCCTGGGGACCAAGCTAGAGGAGGGGGCTCCCTCCAGCCCGGCGTTATCGCTGACTTTGCCTCTCTCAGCCTCAGTTTCCCCCACCAGTCCAGGGACTCACCGGCAGGCCTCTGGTAGGAGAGATGGGCATCCGGGCGGTCGGCGTGCTCCAGGTGGGGGTGAGGGGCGCCCCCCACCCGGTGTGCGGCTGCCTCAGACACCAGAGGCCCTCGTAGGCAGGGGTCACAGTGCCCGCCGCCTCCCCAGCCCCCCTGGCTGGCATCACTCACTCACCCCCTGTGTTCTGAGCATTTGCCCGCAGCACCGCTGTCCTAGCCCACCCCCCAGGGGACCTCCGCCTTGTCCCCTTCTGTATTGCAGCTCCCCCTGCCAGCACGGCGGCTCCTGCGTGGACGATGATGGCCAGGCCTCGTATGCCTCCTGCCTGTGCCCCCCCGGCTTCTCGGGCAATTTTTGCGAGATCGTGGTCAACAGCTGTACCTCCAACCCGTGCGAGAACCAGGGCACCTGCACCGACATTGGGGGCGACTTCCGCTGCCGCTGCCCCCCCGGCTTCGTGGACAAAACCTGCAGTCGCTCGGTGACCAACTGTGCCTCCGAACCGTGCCTGAACGGGGGCACCTGCCTGCAGCACTCCCAGGTGAGGTTCGAGTGTCGGTGCCGGCCCCAGTTCACAGGTCCCCTCTGCGGCAAGAAGCGCGCGGCGAGCTCCCAGCAGGGCACCCGCGTGCCCAACGGGCCCGGGCTGGCCTACCGCGTGACCCCCGGGGTGCACGAGCTGCCCGTGGGGCAGCCCGAGCACCACATCCTAAAGGTGGCCATGAGGGAGGTCAAAAAGGACACCCCGCTCCTCTCCGAGGGCCAGGCCATCTGCTTCACCATCCTGGGCGTGCTGACCGGTCTGGTGGTGCTGGGCACCCTGAGCATCGTCTTCCTCAACAAGTGTGAGGCCTGGATCGCCAACCTGCGCTACAACCGCATGCTGAACAAGAAGAAGAAGCTGCTGCTGCGCTACAACAGCGGGGAAGACATGGCCGTCAACATCATCTTCCCCGACAAGATCGACATGACCACCTTCAAGGAGGCTAGCGACGAGGAGATCTAAGCAGAGATCTAGGCAGAGCCCCCACTCTACTACCCCGCCCCCTCCATCCTCGGGGTCCCCGCAGAGCTCACCAGATGCGGTCGGTTCTAACCTCGGTGGGCGAATTTGCTAGCTCTCGTGTCAGACCTGGTGAACGCGCTACGCTTCGCTGTATTATTCTTTGTGCTACTACTGTGTGTGACCAATGCAATGCGCTCAATGCAATGATGAAGGCCACCCTCCCCCCTCTTTCCCAATGCATGATTAAGAGTAAGAATAAGAATTTAATCTTTAAACGAGTAAGATAAGTAGCATGTCATTCTAAACTTTAAATTTTTAGCATAAAATAAAAAAAGACAAAAAAAAAACAAGGCAACTGGACCAGGACTCGGTGTGTCGACGTCCCTCCCCGAGGGGCCTCGGCCACGGGGTCCTTGTAACGTATTCTTGCATGACCAACCACTGTGACCTGGGCTAAGACCCCTTTCGTTCGTTAATTCTCACACGCCACATCCGACTCGCACTCACTTCAAGTTCAACATCGCAGTCCTTAGATCTTTGTGATGGAGTTGAGGATTTTGCAGAGTGCAGCGGCCATGTGTCAGGCAGAGAGAAAACCCGGGTTGGCTGCTGGGGGGCCGGGACCTCGTCCCAGCCCTGCCACTAACTCGCTGCGTCACCCTGAGCGAGCCCACCGTTTCGCCCCTCTGGAGGGAGGGGCTTGACCACAGTGACCATCAAGGTCCTCTCTTGTCTAAAACTCTGAATTAGGAACGACGGGGGATGAACCAAAACAGCTCCCGACCCTCCCCATGAGGATGGGATGGAGACTAGGTCCCATCCCCGGGTCCGCGTGTTTTGGTCTATTCTGATGCCCGCTTGGCATCCTGAAATCACCCCTAAGTGCAGTTTTCAAAGTGGGGAGCCTCCTGGCTCACTTTCCATTTGGGAACGATTAGCCGCTTTGAGTCACAATACGTAGCCTTGGAGTTCCTCTCGGGCAGCCCCCACCCACCAAAATCTCCAATCCTCTACGCCCCTTCGCCCTGTAGATTAGCCATATTTCTTAAAATGTAAATGCAGGTGAACCGCAAGTGCCCCTGGCGAAATCTGAGCAGCAACACAGCCCCCCCCCCCAGGTGTTCGCAGGGGTTCGTGGAACCTGCCCCTTGTGGGGCGTTCTTTAGTTCTGTGGCCGAAGTGGTACCAGGCCTGGCCTACATGGCTGTGCAGTTCATTTGTGTTGCCGAGTTAGTAACGCTCAGATCCTGAAAGACCTAGCCAGTTTCTGAATCATGAACTTGACTTTTTTAAGAAGAGCATCTATTTTTGTTGGGGAAAAAAAAATAGGAGGAGTTGGGACAGAGTTCTGTCTAGCTTCCCAGCTCTTCGGGTTGGGCAGCTAAACAGTCCTTGGGTACCAGATAGGACTATTTTGCTTCTTAAGTTATTTGGGTAGGAATCAATACTCTGAGCTTCGTTGAGTATTACTGACGTGTTTACCTTGCTCCAACTCATCATCACCTTCATCACGGTCATTCAGATCACCACATGCGTCACCGTCATCACTCAACCATCAACCTTGTCACCCCCACCCACTCAACCACCGCCAAGTCCCTTGTAATTCTGGTTCCAAGCCTGTCATTTCCCCCAAAACCTGACATCCCACTCCCAGTTCCTCCTCATCCTCGCCCCAAGATGCCACCCTGGTCACCTCGTCCCCGACAGGCGATGTCACCCCAAACTCCCATCACCTTCCTCGTCAAACCCCTCCCCATTTTAAACCTGCCCTTCCTCTCCTGCCTCCCCACAATTCTCCCTCAACCCCAAACCCTGTTACCACTGCCAAGGCCCCTCCCACCCCCCAGGCTCCTGTTGCTGCCCTCCTGCCCCTCCCCTCCCTCACCCTCATCCCCTGGCTTCCCGGCCTCCCATCTCTGATAACCCCTCCCCCCAGTCCTTCCTTCTCCCCACAAGTCATTTGAGTCAACATCTCATTTTGAGTGTGTCTTCAAAACTTCAAAAAGACAAAAAAAAAAACAGAACGGTTGGCATGTGTCGGGTGGGTGTCCGGCACCCGCCTGGCCTCTCTCACGTGAGACCTTGATCGAGTCCACTACCGGTTCTGATCCTCGGATTCCCCAAACTTGAAATTCTGAGATTGGATGACATGACCAAATTCTCTGCGCCACCTTTTCGATCTCCAGGCTGTGGAGAACAGCCTTGTCCCCTGGTGACAAGGAAGAGACGTCCCGCCATTTATCCTTGACCCCCTCCTCATCGGTCCACCCATCCATCCTCCATTCATTCAATCAGGAAGCATTTCCAAGCACCTGCCGAGTGCAAGGCGGCGTGCAGGGAGCTGCAGGTCCCGCAGGACGAGGGGCAGTCTTGGGAGGGCAGGGGACACCCAGGTGTCCCCAGGAAGCCAAGCGCAGTGCAGGTGACATGCCGTGGGAGCATTGGAGAGTCCTCAACAGACGCCTCCCCGAGAGCCTGACCATCTCACTTCCCACGTGACAAAGTCTCTCTTAGCAGCACCTGATGTGGCCGCCCCGCCCAAATTCCACAGAGCCCAGCTCACACGTCCCGCCAGATCAGAACAGGGTTAGTGCCTCGCCTCGGTCTTCACGCCCTGCGGAAACGGCGCCTTCCCTCCTTGGTGGGGGCGCCCGGTTCTGCTGAGAGCGTCGGGACTCTGGCTGCCCACCGCACCTCGGTGTGTGTGGGGTCGTGTGTAGTTTACGTAAACACCAGGGGAAGCTTTAAGATGCTGTCAGCGACATGACCACCAATTCGGCCCCAAAACAGAGAGAGGAGTAGGCGGGATTGTCTTCTTGTAACCCCCAACAACGTGGAAAATGTCAATGGCACTCTTTTTGGCTTTCCCATCTACTCGCCCAGACGTGCAAAAAAGTTTGTTTATTAAAAAATAAACAAAACCCAAGGGCTACTCATGTTTCTGTGGTGTGCGTGCTGTGTGCGCCGGCTACCCTTCTCCCTTCCCTGGGCCGGGGGGCCCTGCTCTGGCCCCACCCAGCCCTTCGCACGTGGGGAGGAGGCCAAGGCTGAGGGCGAGCCCACCCACCCTTCCGGACCACACTCCGAGTGTTTGCAGACGGGAATTTCCTGCCCCCCTCCAGGGCCCTCACAGCTTCTTCCCTGTGTCTTGGTGGCCATTTGTGGGTGGTGTGGGTGGTGTGGGTGATGTGGGTGGAGGGGGGACATGAGGATGAAGGGGGCTGCGGGATAGCCCCAAACTCTCCACAGAGCCAGGGACCAGCTCACTCCAGCCACAGGTTCTATCGAGAACTCCAGGGTGGTCGGGTCTGAATCCATGCTGGCCCCGCCCTCCAGGACTTAGAGGTAGAATTGTGTCTGATACTCAGTTGGGGGACTTGTTGCCTTTAAATGGTGGCACATCCGGTGTATGAGTCCCATTTGTTCTCCTGACTTGGACCTTACACGTTGGGGGGGCGGGGGGGACCCACCGCTCTTCTGGCCCCAGGCCCGGCCCGAGGCTGGTTGAGCCAGCTCAGTGGAGTCCCGTGGAGGGGGTGACATTGCCTGTGCCCACCCTGGGGGATCAGCCAGAGCCCCCACCTCCTGCCAGGGTGCGACCTCTGTCCAGGCCCTCTGCTAGCCCAGAGAGTGACCCTCAGTGTGTGGGGGAGTCTTCTCTCCACTTCCTGCCACACCTGTTCCTTCTCGGCCGGGTCACTGCCACCCCCACCTAGATGCTCAGCCAGGCCTGGGTGTCCCTGAGACTCCTCCCTTCTGGGCCCCCATATCCTGCCAGAACTATCCCCCTTGGCCCCCTGGGGTGGGGGTCTCTTCCATGCTACGGGGCACACAGGTACAAGCAGATGGGTGCTATTTCAAAAACCGTAAGAAAATAAGATGACAATGTTGAGGTGATAAACGTAGAAACCTGTATGAAAGGCATGGGCTTTCCAGGCAAATGTCAGTTACCCAGAATCCTCCCCGGGGCCAGTAGGATTAGAGCATTGCCTGGGAAGAGCCCCCGTGGGGCCACCTGCCTGCTACCCAACCCGGGTCCCAAACCTTTGACCCTTTAATGGAACGGGGCACCCAGACAAGGGTCAGGATTCTGGAGCAAAGATGGAGACAAGATGGTCTTTGGATTCTTTCTTCAAAGCTGGGAAAGGGAACCCCAACAAAGTTAACAAAAGAGAGTTACTGTCCTCCCTCGTGAAGAAACAAAAATCCTCAATAAAATAACAAATAGAAAGCAGCCAAGTACCCTATATAATAAAGAGGTAGTATGCAAATGGTCGTTACACCACGACGCATAACGACCGATCAGCAGGAGGGCGGGGCAGCGAGCTATGGGCGGTGGAGAACTATGAGTGGCGGTGGGCGGGGCAGCCAGCTGAGGCAAGCAGCAGCAGCAGCAGCGAGCTACTCACGTATGGATTCGTGCGCAGGGCCACTAGTTTTTTATAAAAACCCCGATCAAGTAGAGCATTTTATGAGAAAGCAGATCATCGAGAGGGGCCCTGGAAGACCCAGGTGGCGGGACAGCAGGATCACCGGGGTCATTGCAGCCAGCCAGGGGCCAGGCAGGTGACCTGGGCAAAGGAACCCAGCTCCAGCCAGCTCCTGGGTCCTGCCTTACCCCACGGGCGGTGGGGCGGCAGGGGTGAAGGGAGCGAGTCTCCACCTGGGGCCCCGCGGCTGCAGTCTGGGCAGTGGGGAGGGCTCGGAGGGCTGTGGTCCTGGCCAGGAGGGCCCCAGGACGTGGAAGGCCCCAGAACGCAGGGCGGGTGGGGTGAGAGTGGGGGACATGCTCTAGTGGGGATTGTTGCTGCACGGGGCCCTTGCATGGGGCCCAGAGTCCGGGGAGCCAGGTAGGAAAGTACCCAGCAAGCTCCACATGGCGGAAGAGACATGAACTGCACGTGCAGGGGGTGGATGGACAGAAAGAAGTTTCCGGAAGGAGAGTAAGGAGGGAGGGGCCATCTGGACAGGGAGTAAAGGGGAAGGTGGGCTCCCAGCACAGGGCACCTGGCTCTGGGGATGGCTGCTAAGACAGTAGTTTGCTTGTCATCTCAGGCCTGTGGCTTTATTTTCTTTAGTGACCGTTCCTACTGCCGAAAAAGAAAGCATTCGCCATGCACATCACCTGCCCAAGAAACTTGCCTCGTTCAAGCGAGGAGACCCAGCCCCAGGACCTCGCCCGAGCCGGTGGGGTGGGGGTGTGCCCGGGGCTCTCCCTGCTCAGAAGCGTGCCAGG